CAGACATTTAACACTGACAATCACTATCAAACAGTTTTTTCAATATGCTTAAAGGCCCTAAGAAAGTCAATTACAAGTACTCTATGGGACCAGAAATAGATAAATAGCTTCATCTGGTTTGGAATTCCTCATAAGCAGACTCAACATGAATTCAGAAAATATTTGGTACCATGGTTGGAGATGGAATATTAGCTATAATTGTATTTGCCTGTTGTTACTGTGACCCATAAGTAAAAACGCTTGATAGTGAATAAAGGGCATACTTACAACTTGAGTCTTTTCTCAGTGACGTTAAGGTCATTTTCAACTTTATTTTTGTTTGCTATCGGAACATCGTGAATACCTTAAATAGTGCGTTCCAACCAAGTAATGAGCTTTTGTCTTTGTTGTCAGGAACAAACAACAAAAATGCCGACCTGGTCTATAACGTTCCTACATTCAGTTATCCCGCACAAGGTATGATATTTTTGAAGAGGATCATAACTGTTATTCTGAGTGATGCAAGTTTGAATCTCATGTAGAATAACTATTTTCTTCTTAAAACTAATCAAACTTTCCTTATCTGTAAGAAACCTTGAGCAGATTTGCATGTAAATCATTATATATCATCCAAGAATGAGACAAGTTTCTAAAACCAAGTTTCCAAACCATAAGTAGAACGTTACGGCTGGTGATATACATGTTTTGTCACATGTACAGTTTCTACTTATTTACATATATTTACATAAGTTGTAGAGAAAAGATGTGAACATTAATTTTTGTTTTGTAGCGTCGAGAGTTATTCATTAAAAGTCGATTGATCTTTACCAATTGTTTACTAGGCACTATTCAAGAGAACGCAAGTTGTAGCACGTTCAGAGCTAATGGAAACCATATACATGTTGTTCTATAGTATTTTCAGCACTCCAGGTCATTCTTTTCGAAAAGCAAAAAAAAATGTTAAGTCGTATTCTTTAACTTATTGGAACTATCTTCTAACTACATCTGTAATACAACTTCCTCAATTCGAGACAGTTTCTACTTTGATAGCTTAGTTCATTTATACGATACACATTTTATTGAAAGAATACACTCCGTCTGATGAGGGTTGAATAAACGTTACCAATATTTTCAGCTATTGATTAAATCACTAGTTATTGATTTTCTCCGATTTTCTTTTTTCTCATGTCATATTTCTATTTAAAGATATCGCCAGTATTCAGAGTCTAGACTGAAAAACCTAACTAATTGATAAATTAAATTTTTGTATTCCTTAACATTTAATACCATAATTTGGAAAGACTAATGAAGCTTGAACTAGTACTTTTAGAGTGAAGAGATTTTTCAACATATAATTTGTTGCCTAATTAAGTTCAGGTTGTTCATCAGCATGTTAGACTTATTTTTAAAGTGAAAATCGAATTATGATTTATTCGATAATAAGATCAATCATTAACTTTGTAGTACTTAATCATAAACAGAAATTGTTAATAATAATTTCTTAAGTATTTAAATGATTTTATTTTTAACTAAATATAGACGGTGAGACTAAAATCTATGGACAACCTTTGAGCTATGCTAGAGTGACTTTGAGAGTGTCCATATAATAACTTGGATCAAATGAGGGTTATAAACCAATGCAAGGAATTAGAATTAGGATTTACAGTTGATGATTAAAGTTGGGAATTAGGTTTAGGGCTTTCATCACGAACTGATATCAGCTTTAATTCCAAAACTCTATTTATCCGAATGGATGAGTGGATTTTGCGCCAAAATCCGAGACCTGTTATCTTATACATAATTGGTTCGTCCATAAATTATAGTCTCACCCACACTGACCAAGACATCTTTCCTGAATAAATCATAGAGTGAAAAAATTAATATAACCATCTTATAAACTTTCATTATTACTATCATCCCTTTCCATTTCCATTCCTTGAAACTGTACTACTGATAAATTTCAAGCATCTAGTTTCTATTATAAATTTTAATAGAATAACTCTGTCTTTTGATTGTTCTATCAAACTTAAAAATTGGGTAGATTATTATAAAAAAATATTTGTAATATCCCAATGAGTAGAAAAATTAGATTTTCTGACGTTTCGCGATTCAGTGTAAGCCACTTCTTCAGAGAATAAATAACCAAATCAAAATCAATCCAAGTTTAAATAGCACAACGGAACAACATGAATATTATGTGATCAACCAAAAAGCATGTCTTTATAAATCAATGTCATGTCATTTAGGTCAAGGTGAATCATAAGTGACATGTATTTTTGTGTGTAGTGTCTGTGTGCACTGTTATGGATGAAAAATGTGTGACCTTTATAATGACAAAGGATAGAGTTTAATTTGTACGATGATAATGTGAATTGAATAATATCATTTAAAAATCCCAATCATATTAAAAGACTAATATTAGACTAATTGTAGAACCTGAAGAGAATTTATCGAAAAGAATATTCTTCGTTCAAATATTAGTCTTTTGAATAATATCAGACTAGGTGGCTAAGATAGATAGTCCAATAAGGATACATGGTAAGACCTTATTTTTTATTGAGAGCAGTAGGATTAAGCATGATATGGAACGCTTCAACCACTCTCCTGTCTTTGTAATTAGAAAAGCCTTTTTGCAATATTTTGATATTTTTAAATCAATTTGGTGTTCGTTGAAAATGGTGTGAATTGCTAATGCCGATTTAATTTGAAGTCTATCCAGCTCTACAGGATTATTAGGAAGTTTCTTTGTGTACCTGATATGTTCTTTGGCACGAGTCAAGATTTTGCGAAATGCCTCTCTAATATAGAAGGCATCACAATCGACACAACCTAATTTGTAGACTCAGTTCTGTGTTAACATGAAGGGGATTTTTTTCTTTTAAGCGAACTAAAGTATTTCGATCTATGTTCGTTGTTTTGTAATATACTTTATTTCTATGTTGTTTTAAAATTCTTTGGAGTTCTTCTATTGTTCCATGATAGTATAGTAAAACTACAGTATCAATCCATGGTATTACATTCGAATCATCACTATTATTACGTAATGAAACGTCTTGTTTTAATAAACTTCTAATAATCTTCATAGGGAAATTATCAAATTATAAGATGCTGATTATATTATTTTGTTCTTTTTTTATCCTCTTCTGATGTGGTGATCTTGTTAGCTCTTCTAAAAAAGATTTAGGGCCAGCAAGATCTTTGCACCGAAGAGATGTGCTGAATTGAAATCAATGTAACGATTAGAGTGTGTAGGTTTTTGGTAGATTGATAGATTTAGAATTCCATCAAGATATCCTTTCAGTAAGCATTCTAAAAATGGTAGCTCACCATGTTCATTTTCATTCTCATTCGAGAATTTGATGTGCGATGAAAATGTAATAATCCATTTCTAAAAAGATCTTAGATAAGTCTTTTTATCATAACAAAGGTATCATCAACATATCTAAGACTAACTCGTGGTTTAATGTCGTTGAAGGAAATATTCGTTTCTATGTGTGCCATAAACAGGTTGGCTACAATCGGGGACACGGGGAATCCCACTGCTACACCGTTAGTTTGTTTGTATAACGTCCCGTTGAAAGTGAATAGAGTTGAATTTAAGCAGGGTCTTAAGGATTTTGTGATTAAACTAATGCTCAAAGGATATGTGTTAGAAAATGTATTGTCATTCTCTAAATATCAGTCAGTCAGTCAGTTACTACTACATTCTCTAAATATAGTATTAATATGAGCAAAGATGGGTAATGGCGTGTCCTATATAAGACTCACTTCTATGCTTCTTAAAATAGTAAGTGGACGCGGTAAAGGTGGCGAACCTAGTGAAAGGGCTAAGACAAGATCAGCGTGTGCGAGTCTTCAGTTCCCTGTTGGTTATGTAAATCGTTTTCTACGTAAGGGTAATTGCACTGAGCGATTTGGTGCTGGTGCTCTAATCTATCTATCTGCAGTTCCCAAATACCTGGACGCAGAAGTTTTGGAGTTAGATGTTAATGCTACGCTTGATAACATGAAGACTCGCACCATCCCAATACAGGACCCATTATCTAAGTGGATAAAGCAATGGCGTTTGAAGAGAAGGGTACTGAGTTCGAGTTCCATAGATGCAGGCTGACGAGCCCCAAATAGAAAGAAACGCGCGTTCTGGATTCCAATACTAGCCATTATCCATCTTTGCTTATAATGCTTATGAATTAAGGCAATATTGAGGCAATAGGTACAGTATGCACATATCCCAACAATTGACTGATCAACTGCAGTCCTAAACATCAATAGGAAGATTCAAGTAAACACTACCAAGTGAATTTCTAGTATTAATATTCGTCAATATTTTTATAACTTTCTAGGTTTATCTACCATTAAATCTACTAGGATAATAAATAACAAACTCAAATTAGTAATGTATTGATTTTTTTATGGACATAATCTTTAATATGTCTATTGTTATTTTGATAGATTATTTTTGTTATTTTTTGTTATTTTTGTTTACAATGATTAGCTATATGAAATGTATTAATGAGAATAACCGGATTCATTAGTTTCCTGTGACATATATAATTCAATATAAATAATAACTGATGAATAGGCGCTAACAAATCGCTCACATTTCAACATATCTAACTATGACTGTGGTGTGGTCTCACTTATATCCACATAAGTAGTATATGGTGACGGTCAGACATAGAATGTATTTTGGCAGAAGACCGATAAGAAAAGAATAGGAATGAAGCGCAATCGGTACGAAAATGCATGAATAATGAAATCAGAGAAGACGGACTAATATTTGCAAAAGGAACAGTTAAGATTGAGACAATTGATTGTTATTTTGCAAATTAACTGCTCACTGTATGGTTATCTGAATTCAGTGAGATAGTCTGTAATTTAAGCTTAAATACATTCGATTGTCCCCACTCGTATTCTCGTTCACTACATTACTACTTAAATTATTTTATCTATTTCCTTGTTTATGCAATGTATTTTCACTTCTGATAATAATTAATGTTTTCATAAAAAACAAAACTTTTACTGGTCAATAAATTTTATTCAGATTATTTGTTTAAATATATTTTACAAATCATATTATTTACATTCATAGTACTGTTTCATTCGTCTGGTAACAAAAAGAAAGTTTAACCTTATTTCATCATAGAAACAAAATAATCAATTAAGTATATGCATATAGGTATATGTCGATGGATGGGGATATAAATAAAATACTCAAAAATGTTTTTTTTTCCCATTTTAATTAACATAATCAATCAGATGATAAAGTGCTATTGTTTTATCTAAGCACAAATATATCATTGTATATGTAATAATAAACACTTAAACAAATGATTTTTGTACATTTAAACATTTTAAAGAACGAGCTGATAATAAAGTTGTAGACTGTTTATTATATCCAGTCAATTTTTGTGTAATTTTTGAATGATCTTGTTGTTCATGTAATAAATTATTAAAATTAGTATTATTATTATTGTTCTTGGAGGAATTCGGCATTATTTCGTAACATTCTGATTTACGTAATATTGAAGGATATTTCATGTGTTCTAATAATTGATAATCTGATATGTCATCAGGTGATATAAGTATACCAGGTTTATTATTTTTAATATCATTTTTATGATTAGATAAAAGCCATATTCTTTGTTCATTCTTATCATTCAATTGATTATTGTATTCACCTGAGATTAGGTTATTGTTTTGTTTGTTATTTAGCTCTTGATATTTAGATTTGATTGTTTGACATTTCATGGCATATAAATGATCAGTATTTAATGCTATCTGTTCTTCATAAGATGGTGTAGTTTGATTTTGTACACATGAATTATTCATAGGTCCTGTAACTATTCTCAATTCGTCACATGATTTTGACAGTGTGGAATTGTTTTTCGTAGTTAATTCTGTTTGAGATCCATCATATACTGAAATGTCTTTAGGAATTTGTCTTGTTGTAGTTTTAAATGTTGTTGGAATTTTTAAAGGTTGTGTCATATACTTTGCAGAACCATATAAAGAACTTATACTAACTGGTGAAAATCTTTGAGCTGAAATATCTAGTGGATGAGTTGTAGAAAGATAAGATGGATGACATAAATGATTCGTAGAATCACCTCCAAATGATTTATCAGAACTGTGATTTGGATATTTACCAGCCTGACGTCCTAAATGATGCTTCGATTTTGTAAGAATAAATGTAAATTTATTATGAAAATAGATTGTATAATTCAAACAATTAACAAGTTTTATCAATGTGAAGCGATTTAAAAATAATGAACGGAATGTTCTAGATACATTGTTCGTCTTCCGTTGATATCTATGCGTCAAGCTGATTTAGAGATTTTACTCCCGAAATTTATCTTTTCATCTTTGTATTTAGATATATAAAGAATGATATATTATGACCCCTAGTGCACGCCTCCATGAATGGAATTAATATACGGCTATATCAAATGAAATCAGCAATTAATATGAAGTTTCAAATACGATCAAAAATATGTACGAGAAGTATATCCTAACGTTACTAAAAAAATACCAACAATTCAGTAAACTCAGTTGGTTGTGCATCATGAGGTGGTGAAATAGTGTAAAATATTTTGAAATAAAGCTTATATGGTTAAACGGAAGGTACTGCATCACCAATGGACGTATATATATTTTTTATATAGTTGAGATCATGAGTCAATTGAAGCTAGACCACCATGGAAAGCCTGAAAGCACTGGATGGCCATTTCATCCTATTATGGGACACCTCATCAGTGCACATCTACGATCCCGTCTCGCGAGATTCGAACCCAGGACCCATCAGTCTCGCGCATGAGCACTTGACCGATAGACCAATGAGCCAGTATTCAATAGTGTTAATGTCTAACTTCAACCAATCCACGAAATAGAGCAAACATTCATCTATGTCTTCAGTGAGTTCATATCTCCCAACAGATATGGTTTAACTCCACTGATTACTTCTTCTCACTAGAACTCCAGGAAATACTTCATGGAGTCAGTCCTAATTCCAAAACTCACTAGGCGGGATCTTGGATGTGCACGGCTGAGGAGTCCCACCATAGGACGAACCGACCGTCCAGTGCTTCCAGGTTTTTCTTGGTGGTCTAGCTTCAATTGACTAATGATCTCATTTATATATTTTTTGTTAGTTATTTTAAATCAATTATTTTGATGTTCCATGAAAATTCAAATCATTTGTAATAGTCATTTCAAGTATTAGATACATGATAATCTTAAATAAGTAATCCTTTATCCTACAAGCTGATTTCGGCTTACGAAATTTTGACTCTATATTACCGAAATCTATGTAAAAAAGATGGATTGAAATGGTAAGTTTAGAATATCTTTCTAGTTTAATCAAATGAATTCTCATTCTAACAAAATTCAATAGCTTTTTATGCTCATTTCGCTGAGTACATTCATTTCCATGTCCAGAAATTATGTACATTCTGATTTGGTTCAGTATATCATAACAAACTTACTCTAACAAATAGAGCATATCATAACAGATTGAATAGAATATGAGTTTTAGTAAACAGAAATTATATTTTTCGCTTTTGTTTGTTTGCTGAATATGTAAATGTCAAATTTACAAGATAACCGCAATTTTAAAAACTTAAATTCATTCATTTAAAACGAATTGTCAAATTTATTCTGCTTATAAAGATACAATTAGATTGATAAAATTCAAAATAGTAACTGGATAATCATATAATTGACGTATTTCGTTTTATTTATTTTTTTTTAAGAAAAAGCTTACCTCTATAATTTTTCCTGTTTCCATGTCTAATGTGTATTCAGGACTAGGATATGATGTCATATTCCATACAGATATTCCAGAACGATCTGTTTCTTTATCATTGTTCTTTTGTAAGGGTACTTAAAGGGGAGGTTTTAGAAAAAAAGATATGAATATAAATTTTATCGTTGACAGAAGTACGTCTTATGCAATTCAAAGAATTCAAGAATTTGGAACAAAATAATCGAGTAATCACTAAGCAACCAAATGAAGTCAATTAAGCTTAGTTCCGTTTCGGTGTCGATATAGGTCACAACAATTATCAAATGATTTTACATAAAACAAAATAAATATTTGACTGGAATTAGAAAGTCAAAATTAAGGTTGTTGGATACTTAATGGTAATTAGTTTTATTAGTCTTGAGAAGCCATTCTAAACACGAAACTGCTGTTACCATCAATAACGAAAATTTTCTAACTATTTGAATCCTAATCTCTATCCGCTATTTGTTTTTATTTCTTTAATTATTAGAAGGGGTTTTTGTGGAGATTTGGTATGTTTCATAGATGAAAGCATGAGTCAATTGAAGCTAGACCACCGAGGAAAACCTGGAAACACTGGACGGCCGTTTCGTCCTATTATGGGACTCTTTATTATTACAAAATTTAAGCAGATTGATTGATTTCACTTTAAATAAATGAATTAGTGAGCATCGACTTCGATTGTGATCTTAGACTAACCAAATTAAACATCATCAATTTAGTCTATTACATTAGTTCAGTACTATATAATTGTATTCTAACATTATCAATTACGTCTTCTATGTCTGATATCTGATTCAATGATGACGTATAATATAGTACTTATTTATTATTACTCTAACAATGTTAACATTTGATTATATGTAAAGAGCTTTGTCTACATTTCTACATACAAAGCATATTGTTTGAAGAATAGAATGAAAAGTTTTATGTGTGTTTTGTTTTTCTTTTTAAAAAAAAGGAAAAAAAAATCAAAAAATAATTTTTTTAACAGAAATAAAAATTACATAGTAACATTGAAAAAATTTATTTTTTCGAAGATTTAAATGAGAACATTTAATTAATATGGTGATAAACTAATGATAGTCGACCTAGTATTTCCCAGTTATTTATTAGAATACCTTCTTTTGTCTTTTATCATTTCATTGAATTAATCATAGAAAAATAAAAGATTACATTTCTGTAACATAGTTATAGGAAACATAGAAACAAAACAAATAAAAGAAAGAGAATGTATGACTTCAATGTATTCTCTATGGATAATAAGGTAGAATATTTGATTTCAGTCAGTAAGCTTAGATACAACATGATAAACAAAAACATTTACCAATGGTGATACATATAAATCATTTGAAAAAGGCACATATGTATCAATATTATATAGACAATAATATGAATGAAATAATTTCAAGACATGAATGTTTTAATGTAACTTCTTTTTTGTTTCGCTCGTTTAATTAAAATGATTAAATATAACTATGAATGAATACATTGCTCAAACTTTTAAGAAATGTTTTGTATAGTTGAATCTCTATACTAATTTAAATATAGACAAAACAACAATTGAGGCAGAATAGTTTTGTGATTTCTTCTCAACTAATTACAACCCTATTCATATTATAAAGTTACAGTGATTATTACTGCTGATTAAACCGATTTGTGAATGAATAAGCAAATGTCAGGTTATCTATATGTGAAATCGACAAACCTAGTGATGATGAACCAGTAATTCTATGTAAACCTAAAACTGAGAAGGTGAATCGTATATAAATAAATTTCGAAACAGATATAGAAAACATAGGGCGATAAGGTGGTAGTTATCCAGGATTCAGAATTGATAAGACATAATACGTAATAAGTATAGACAGTATTTTGCCTAATATGGATTTTATTCATATGATTAATTTCATTATTGTATTGACTTTACCTCGGTTACTTGCAAAATATCACTTTACCTTATTTTTAAGTGAACAGTTAGGGTTGAACCTCACTGGCCACGGCTTCTCACCAGAACTCCAGGAAACTCGTCTTGGAGCCAGTCTCTAGTGAGCACGTGTTCTCTTTTCGAGTCCTGCGTGCGGGATCGTGGATGCACACTGCTGAGGAGTTTCATACTAGGACGGAACGGCGGTCCAGTGCTAATATTAATTTAAGCCACAGACCATATGAAACGCGTTTAAAAATGCGAAGGGTCATACTTTCCCCTGTTTTTTTCTGGTGTATATACTTTGTGATGTACATGCAAGTTAATAAATACAGGTAAAAGTAATTAGAAAATAGGACTTGTATATTTTTGTCTATTTTAAAGAAGAGTTTCTTTCACATAAGGTGATCAGCGTTGCTAATGGATAAGCAATCTAGTTGTAGTACTTATTAAGTAATTAATTATTCTAGCAATTTCACCTTCTTTGAAGTAAAGATGTAAAAGGCGCCTTTCTCACCTGTATCATATTCAACTCGTTTGCTAGTCTTACCCTACCTTTAAACGAACGTCTATGGGTATACATTTTTACGTAGGCAATTTTTAACACCAGAAGCTACGTTTCTAGGCTTCCTTCGAAGCAAATTTTCTTAGCACTGTCCATAAGACTTCCAACAATTCCTCTTTGATAGCTCTAGGACAGAAACTGTTGTAGTCAATATAAGTTGCGTTCCATGTATTTTTTTCGGTTGATATATTCTTATAGCTTATCACAGGGAGTTTTTAAAATTCCAAGATCTAATAAATTGAGTTTCCCTTCATCTTCATGTTCCGTAGTGAATTCTATTTCCTTGTGTGTTTCGTTTCACAGGTTAGGTAAATGTACAGAGTGCTTCAGATCATTCCAAGTAGAAGGTACATCATCAATATATTTACTATGGAACGTAGTTTCATTTATTTAACTGTATTAGTTTCGTCAATAAAAGGTTCCTTATCAATATACAGGTCGAAACCAAATTTTGGATAAATACTATATCAGCTCTTCATGTTTTCTATATCTATGTTCGGAGGGTCTTAAATTTACGTAATCTCTTCTAATCTTCAGGGATTACTGTGCAATTCATCTTCTCAGTCCTCGGATTACACAGAAATACTGCTTCATCACCTCTAGGTGTGTCAATTTCACATTTGGATTACCTCATACATGCTGACTCATATACGAATATGTTTAGTGTATACTGATAGTCACTGTAACATTTTAATAGAAATACGGTTGTAATTAGCTGGAGAAAAACCACAGAATATAATGAATTCATATTATTTTGCCTTGGATGTTTTCTTTAGTCTTGAAAATGTCTTATAATTCAATTTCTATCAGACATACTCACATTGAAATGATTTCATTATTAATAATTTTTACGGGGGACATCTATTGCTTAGTTTTTATACTCTTGGGTTGTGTATTATTAAGCACAAAATCACAAAAGGTAAATCACAAAAGTGTTTAGCCGAACATAAAAAGTAATGCTGCCTACTTCTATTTTATGCTTTGAACTAGATGGTTTACGAAACTTTCAAAGTATTTATTAACAACATCATTATTATTTACCTAAATTAAAAGGTCTGAAGATACTTTCTAGAATGATCATGAAGACTTCACATGAGAAACATTCAGCTGAATTAAACTCACTGTTATTCTGTTGATTTTTGCGAGTTATAAATTTCACCGGTCAAGAATTTTGTACCCTTTGTAATTCGTTCTAAAATAACTCCCTCTTATTTGCGATCAATCAGAAAATGTTAACTGTCGTACTTAATCATACCTAATCCATAAATGTTGATAATGTTTCGATTGCTAAACCTATATAAAACTTGACAAAAATTAGTCATCATTGAAATGAATTGAAAACAGGGATTTACTTTAGTTTAAGTCAGGTTTTATTTTATTTAAGCAACAATGTATGAGGCTGTCATTAGGGTGGTTATAGTTATCAAAATATATGCTCAGTATGTCTAGATAAACGCATTTTTTGCCCGAATTTATGAGGATATAACGTGCAGATGGACAAATTATTTCTGACTGTAACCACCTTCAAACGTAGGTCTGAACTAGTTATATTATAATGGTTATGGTTTATCGTTGCTGAAAAGGTAATCACTGCACAAAATATTAACTTTTATAGCCATTGTCAAACAATAATAACCGATTTTACAATTTCTTAAAATATTAATATTATCAGGCGATTGGCATGGCGAATTCAACAAGGGAATTTGAGAAAAACTGTTCATTAGTGCGGTGGTAGATGTGTATTACAAATTCAAATTATAATTGTTTTCACGTTGTGTAAACTATATAATATAGGACTTCTCTTTTTAGTCCATGTAATTAATCATTTTTAAAATTTATTAAGTGGCGGTACATTATTTCCATACTTTAGGATTGCAGAAGTTATATGGTGTGCATTAATTACACTTAATATTCATGAATTTAAATTGCCAACTGTGATAGGGTTCAGTATAGTCATTCACATTCTTTAGCAAAGTTATTAAATACATAGCTACTATTTGTATAATAAACCATTTTAAAGTAAGGAGAATAGTTTCTGTTCCTTTCTTTATGTTTCATTGAAGTGAATAAAAACGAGTTTAATAGAATAAAATAACTTTATAGTCTAAACTTGAAATGTATATGTACGTTCATTCTAAATATAGGCTTGTTGTTAAATGCATTATATATGAAGAAATGATTAACCATTATAAACATACGACCTTGCTCGCAGGATTCGAACTCGGGACCTTCGGACTCTCGCGCGACCGCTTACCCTATAAACCATGAATCATGAACTCAACTATTAAAGACGTATTTATTATAAACCTTTTACACAATCCTCAATTTATTTCAAACTATCAAGTCCAACCTTGACACTGATGTTTAAAATATGCAAAAAAATCTAAAATTATTTTCATTAACAGTAAAATGATGTTAAACAATAGCGGATACTGGTTAGGTAAGTGTCATCGTGTTTTGTATTTTAAGCACTTCTCAGAAAGAGTTCTGAATCACATTTCTAGAATGAAATTAATCTGTTTAAGATTTTATGTTGACAACAAAAGTCGCTTTGAAATATGTCATCATTTACCTTAACTGGAATTAATACTACCCGTATAATTCAAGCACACCACTTACCCGGGACTTCATTATGCGTTCTGGGTACTATTCGTTTCATAGCAATCACTACACCAATTAACAATAGGCAAAGTAGTCCAGCCACAGATATCAGAGCTGCCACAATAGCTATTGTACTTAAACCGTACCGCTGTTGAGACTCATCGAGTACATTAGTTGACTGATATGGTTGATAAGCATTATTAGTGCTGGGAATAATTTTAGGATACCGCTTTTCAAAGTCTAAATCCTTCTTATCTTTCCCATTTAAACGTACTGGCTGAAGCCATTTTGTTGGGTGGGTATCCCCAGAAACGGGTGGTGAATCAAAATCTATGTTCTTAAGCAAATTTGTTTGAGATTCAATCGTAGAAACTTGTTCGTTAACAATGTGAATGCGAACAGCATAACGTCTTTTTAACGACTTTGTTGGATCTGTAGGACGATCACGTGCGACAACATGTACAGTATACTGACCTACAGGAGGATCTTCTTTACTTATCTTACATATTATTGTATGATCCAATCTAAATTCAAAATACGGGTTGGTTTCAAGTGTAACATCTATCTGTGCGTTCTCTTTCTCATCAGCATCGGCAAAATAATAAGGAAATTCGATGCATGAATTGAACGGATCTTTAACATTTATGTTATATTTTAAATCAACTACTGAAAGTTGTTGAAGTTGTTTTGTTTGACTATGCAATCCTCCTTCTGCTCCTCCATTATACTTTAGTATTTCCCCATGATGTAACATAATAGGTGCATTGTCATTCTGATCAATTATATTAATTGTAACACTAGCTTCATCATAGAATATGGTTCTATTTAAATGAATGGATGAAAGCTTGGATTTTGGTTTTTCATTACGAGCAATAATAATAAATGGTATTTGTTGTATTTCTTCACGATCAAGAATTTTCCTTGAATAAATGATCCCAGTATTCCTAAATTAGAAAACGGAAAGATATTTTTGCAGCTAAATTGTTATTAAAAAATCATTGTGAAGTGATCATCAGAAACTCTTTAACCATGTCTGATATTCATGAACGAAGAAAAGATAATAACACAACGAAATAGTTATCCAGTACTCCAAGGTTTTCGAAATTCTTAAACAAATTTAGCTGGCTGACGGAAACTAAGTATAAACTGAGTGACCTTGACGAATGCAACTTTTTATCCTTAAAAAAGTTCGAAGTGGTTAATTATTAACCTAAATGAACAAATTACAACCATTAGTTGGACAAAATTTCCACTTTTCTTTACGCTTCCTCAAAGCTTTAGTTTTGATGCCCCATATATACTTAAAACGCCAGTTGGTATTTCATAAGAAATAAAACATGATAATTTTTTTACCTATAAGTTGTGAAAGAAGATACTTTAAGAAGTCCAGCTTTTTTACGTAATGTTATTTCAAATGCACCACAGACAATATGTACATCTAATACAGTAATTGAATTCAAATCTCTGTAGAACGGCCTAGAATGGAGAAATCGGTTTAGAGTCATTCTTTCTCCAGCATCTAAAATTAAGTCCAGGTCTCAAATCGTATGTGATGCATTTATAAGAAAATGGATTTAATCGGATTTTACAGCTAATTCTACAGAATTTAGGGAAAAATCCTGATAAAAAATAGCTATTCTAGTTTGATTATTAATTACATAAACAAAGATTGAATGAACGTTTGCTTGTTACTTCTAGGCTAAAGTCTGGTAAAAATACGTTGATGAGGTATGAAGCCTTTGTGAGTACAGATTAACGATAAAATTTTGTATATTTAAAACATAATTAAGTATTGATTAAGTGTTTTTACATTGACTAGTGTCGTCTATTATCACTGTGGCTTTATATATTATTAGGTCGGTCAGTTTTATTAATAAAATCATGAACAAACTACCATCACAACAAATTATACACATACAACTTTAAATAACCTACTGTTCTACATAAATGAAATTTGATGCGTTTATGTTGACTACATCTCGAAGTTCATAAGTAATATATCGATTTTCTTTATCTCGATCTGCATCAGTAGATTTAATTTGACCGATTAACGAATGACGTGGTAAACCTTCTGAGATATCGAAAATATAATGATGTTGTTCTAAAACTGGTGGATTGTCATTTACGTCATCAACCTGTGGGATAAAAAATAAATTTCACGAAAGCCGTAGTTTGTGAATTCTGAAAATAATAACTATATTTGAAATTAAATAGTTGATTTCATATTACAAATGAAAAAAGAAACGTTATTTGATAAGTATGTTGGAATCACTTTCTTTTCTGTTATCGTTTAGTCAATGTTAGAACCTGTTCACATTTTATTTGACTAGATGTTGTACGGAACACTGCTGTACAAATCTTAAGTTATAAGATGGCATATGTTTTCATAATATTAAAGGTTTATCGATAACCTATTACGAGGTCGTCAGAAATTTATCTTAACTACTCACCAACATTAAATGGCTTTCATATAAATATAAAAACAATTTGTGTACAGATTGAGGAATATAGTTTTGAAGGAGACATCATATAGTTTAGTTAAACAAAGTATGTCAATAACATAAACTAGAATCAACACGGGATAAAAGATTGATTACTTAGGTTCTGAATGATAAGATTACTAAAAGCAATGATGTCGGCACAAAATGTTAGACGGTGACTAACTAAAAGTTGTTTTGCTTCCATTTATACATATATTGTTACGAAAATTCATTCTGATCATTATCAAGATTACTTAGGAATAAGAAAATTTTTTTAACTTCACTTTGGACATTTTTATTAATAGACAGATTACTACAAAGGGTTAGAAACGGAGAACTTCTACTATTTTATAAACGTTTTACAGAACTCTTCCTTTTTATATCTTGTTATAGGATCTTTTCAATTTCACTGATTTGTCTCAAAGACACCAAGAACCTTTTCATCTATTGTTTTTTTTTCTCTAGTTCAATAAACACCAAAAAGGACTTTTGAAAAATTATTTTCTTCAAAAGAATATTTTCATTTCATCACGTAACGAAAATTAGTCATGCAAAGCCTATTTTCGAATTAACACAAACATTCTATGGAAAAGTGATAGGCTCATTAAATCTTTTTAAACATCACATGAGTGTCCATGAGCGCATGTGTGTTGGTAGGCGGGAAAATTAAGTTTTTAAGCAGAATTTGAAATTGTATTATTTCTTTTGATGCATTTAAAATTTATATTTATTATTTAACATCAAAACGTTTACTTCGTATCATTCGTAATCTAGCTTTGAAGAAACTTTAACAAGTTATTATCACAAAAATGATTGCTACAAGTGATAACACATTCTCCATGTTTCTCTCTATATTCCATATATATATGAACATTCGGTCTTGCGGAAGAACACTTAACATCTTGACCACTACAACAATCTCCACAAATCCTCATTCTGATAATTATCATCGTGTGCTCACTAGTGACTGGCTTCAAGATGGATTTCCTGGGGTTCTAGTGTGAAGCAGTGAGCAGTGGAGATCAACCGTGTCAGTTGTAAGGCAGTTGCTCACTGAAGACGATGGTGGGCGGTGATGACATTTCGTGTATTGGTTGAAGTTAGACATTAACATCGTCGGATGTCGGACCAGTGCTCTAGAAGTTAAGTGTTCTCCTGCGAAACCGAGTATCCTGAGCTCTAGTCTAGCACGAAGAATTGTGGATGTGCCTTGGTGAGGAGTCCCATACTAGGATGAAATAGAAGTCCAGTGATTACAGGTTTCCCATGATGGTCTAGCTTTAATTGGCTCATGAATTCAATCATTAAATTACTACAATCACCACAAACCTCTATTTATATATATATATATAATTATAATTACACTAATCTATTGGTCACTGTTAACATTTCAACTTTCGAATTTATTTCGGCTTTCGGTTTGTTTCTACTATAAAAGAAATACTTAAACTTTATGGTTTAGATATGTGAGTCTCAACATAGTTTTCAGATTCTTATAGTACACTAAACAGTGGACAGGGAACCTGAAACCTAGATTTTGTGATATTTGTCAGCGCTCAGCCATTATCAAGGGAAATATATCTTCCAAATGGATTGGAAACCTCGTCACTCAGAATCAGTCTGTAATGTTACCACTGAGCTATTCTGATAGTTCCGATCCCCTATAAAAAAGAATATTCACGTTGATGAATTACTGGATAGTGACCTTTGTCATATTTGCTTGGTCTTTAGTGGTGATTGGATTCGGTCAATCAAGCTGCAATGTCACCTATACTTTAAGTAATCCAACATTAGGTTTTCTATCGAACGCCTGTGATCACCAAATTTGGAAACAGTGTACATGATTTCTGATCTGTTAGTCTGGGAGTTACATTACAACCTGATCAAAAGAATTCAGCTACCACTGAGTACTAGGCAAACATAATATTTGGTCACTAGTCAATAAATAGTGAGTTTTTCAGAATAAAGATGATAGTTCTCCAATAACTGAACGCTGAGTTACACAATCATAGCTATATATTATGAAAATAGAGTTCGGTCTGTTTGTATGTTTCGATATACATGAACACTATAATCAGATCTACGGGGGGAAAGTATTATTGAAATTCAAAGAATCCTCATTTAGTTATACAAAGTCGATTAAGTTGATTCCACACATAAATTATCCGGAACTTCTTGGTAGTGTACATCCTTAAAATAAAACAAGAAATCTACAATAAGTCTGAGAGTCAGATGAAAACACGTCTTTATTGAACAGGTGGAAAAATATGTAAACTTTAGGATCATCTTTAATTATGTACGTCATGTAAGATAGATAGATATCTGGCAGAATAAATTTCAGTTACATCTATCATATTACGTTAATAGTATCAACATCTATCCAACTGTTTAGCAAACAAGAATGTCACATAAACTACGATAAAAGCAGTAGTTTTAAATGTTTAGACTACACATATAAATTAGTTAAAATACATTGACATTATCGAAAGTCAATAAAAAAACGTTAAATGCTTTGTCACAGAACTTACTATAACGGTTACTAGAGCCGTGGTGGAATGTCTTTTCTCAGGTGGTACTGCTTGATCAATTGCGATCACAGCAAAATAATACACGTTTTGTTGTTCACAGTCTAGTTCCGTGCGTGTTCTTAACTGACCACTAATTGGATCTATGTAAAAATTTTCTACATCTTTTTGTGTATCATGCGATATTGAGCGTTTTGTTTGATGTTCTACAATGTCTTCAGTAGAATTGTGCAATAATTCGCGGTCATTTGAAATAGTAATGCTTTGTGTTTGATTTTTAAGGAGTAATAATAAACTTTGTTCATTTTCTTTTGTATGATTTTGTACAAATTTGATATAGTCAGGGAGGTACAATGACTTCAGTGAGTAAGCTACTTGTGCATTAGAACCTATATCCAAATCAGTAGCGTGTATCACATTTCGATATGAGTTGACCACTGTTTCAGCGTTTGAGTTTATTAGTGTGACAACTGTATTCGCAGTGTTTTCTTTCACGTGACCTATATAATGTTCTTGAGTAAATTTTGGTGCATTGTCATTACGATCTTTCACAATGATATGTAACTGATTACGTCCAACTAAGCTAGATTCTGTCGTACCATCCTGACATTTAACTATAAGTGTATGCTGTGGTACAACTTCTCTGTCTAATAACACTATTGTTGTCAAGTCGAAAATTTTTCTTTTTTGTACAAGTCTGTTAGTGCTAACTTCTTTTAACTCAAATTGTTTGCTTTTATCTCCTTCTAATGAACATTGAATACTACTTAAATCATTATCTAGATCTGTTACATGTACATGACACAAGATTTGATTTTCTTTTGAATAATTGCTAAATTCATTTTCATAGATACTTATCTGTGCATAATTCGAATCTAATGGTTGTCCATGATGATAAAATTTTATTATTGGTGCATTATCGTTCATATTTAAAACCGTAATTTTAATTTGAGCGGATGCCGACAGTGGTGGATGACCTTGATCTACACATACAATTTCAAAAATGAAATGAGATTGTAGTTCATAATCTAACGGTTGGCTAATTCTTAGACTGACACCTTCCACAGATGGCAATAATTGTATATGATTACGTAAATACTCTGGACTAACTTGATTCATTCCATTCACTGTACGTAAATAATAATTAAGTCGTGCATTCGAATCAATATCAGAATCATTTACATGAATATTAAGTAATGGTATACCAGCTTTGTTTTCATTCACTTCAATATGAAATTCAGATTTTTGAAACACTGGTGGATTATCATTTTCATCTAATATCTGTAAAAGATAAAAATAAAGCTAGTAAACAGTTGAATTCCAGTTATTTTCGTAGTTTTTTTTAAAATTTATTTCAAACTATCAACACTTAAGAACATTTTTAGTTTATTACGTTGGTGTTCCTATAGTATTTTTGAATAAAGTAATCTTTTACTTTAAAACAAATGATCATCTTGTTTTCCAAGTCGATAGAAATGCAGAAAATCCTACTGTAGATATTAACTATCAGAGAATTTATAAATGTCGACGATGTAAACCTTGAAATCTCCAAGTTAAAGGACCTTAGAAAAGGATTCATACGAAAATGAGTTTTAGATGTGATAAATGATTTTCAAAAGTGTAATTTCGAAAGAAAAGTTTCAAAGTAAAATTACAGTCAAAAAGATAAGTGGGTGAGTACAAGAACTGACAATTTTACTAATCATTTTTTCATTATCAGTTTGTGTTATATTGATTGATGTGCATGCGTGCCATGTTTAATATATGAATGATATTAGACCGCCAATTGGAGAGCAGTGAGTTATGAATCACAGCAATGATACACAAAAGCCGTATGAGTACTTATCAGTCCTGCTTTCTGCCTAGTCCAGCCAGTTAAGACCAAAACACTAATAACAGCCTCGTCAATATGAATAATTATTCTCAAACATACTGGGTTTATATACCAATCAAACTAACCACATCGTACCATAAAATAGAAAATAATATTTCTGCAAGATTTGGCCGAATGTGGCCGTGAATAGTGGGAACAGTAACTAACGGACTAGGGATAACTCAATAATGATAAATCGTTTAATAATAGTCTATAGGTCAAAATAAAGCTTATAATAAGGGGGGGGGCACGAATATTAATAATTTCGTTACCTAACAATTATACAATAGGAAATATACATATCATATTGATCCATAAATAGTCCTCAAATTTACCATTCATAAATCTACACGGGATATAACAATTTGAATTAAAAAGTCGTTTCTAATTTAAACTGTTAAATCTTATTAATGAAATAATCACTGTCCTTAATTAAAGATAGGTATAATAGTTTTACGGTGATCTTATTGATTGATCACTTATTTACATATGGGTTAGGAATATACTATAGTGATAGATCCAGACATTTATTGTACTTTTTAAAACGAATAATATTATTTGTTTCTACCTGTAATAAATATCCGTTGTCCTCTTGGCTCGTTTTGGAAATATCGAGTCAGAATGTCTTATCTCAGTTTTTTTCTTTTTCTTTCAAACTTGTCTAATCAAAACGATCATTCCTGCTTCCTATCTTCTATAATGTTTACCACTAAAATTTTAAGTACAATATTATCAGGTGCAATATGATCTGTATAACAATATGAAGTATGGTTGGTTTTATACAGTTATATAGTCAGTTATTAGAAGATATTTACATCTCAACTAATTCTTTATTAAATTATTGGAATATAGTGTAACTCACTGAATGTTTGTCTAATTTTCGCAATGTTACTTTGTATCGTCTTTGATTCATATTATACAAATATAATCTCGATAACTTGAGAACGTGAGTAATAATATCATTACCATGAATAGTACTACTAATAAGATTAATAATTATTATCATAGTTAGAATGATATCATCATATGACAACCAAGTTAAAGAGAAACAAACAAACAAACAAAAATATAACTAAGAATCACATAAGTAACGGGGTAATGTTAGAAAAGAAAAAAAACAATAATGGCAATCAGATTTTTACGAGGTAGTGAATGTGTTTACAATATGAACACGCATGACAATATAGACATGCTCGTATGGGTTGCTGTTACACTTTCTCATATCGGTTTTAGAATAAGAGATTTTTTAGACTGTGCATAATTTTGTATTTTCTAGGATTGCGTGTATATAAATGTGCTTTCGTCTATCTATATGTATATCTAGATATTTGTTTATCATTTTTATTATACTCATTACCCATTGTTTTTACTTTTTTTTAATAGTTGAAACGGAAACAGAAAATGTCTGTGAACAGTAGAGTTCTCATTACTTCCTTTACTCTGTCTATCTATGTTTACGTCAACCATCATGGTCTATACACTGCTATATGTAAAAACATTGTAGCATTAATACATACACATATAAACATATGTATACGTAGATTAGAGTTTAAATATAGAATGCCTTGATAAAGGCATTCTGCACTAAAGGGACATGATAACCATTTACTATAAAGTGGTCGGAATATATGAGTCATTCAAATAGTCTATAAAATAGAATTGTATGATCGAATGTTGTCGATAAATAGCTGCCTAATTTCACAATCGATTTCTTATTTGTAGATTCTTTTTAACACCTTCAGGACTTAATAATGACTACAATGTAAACGCCTTTCAGACAATAATTTAAGTTTTCAAAGTATTTTATTTGGGTGTCCTATAGCTTTAACCGAGTTGTATGCTGTCAGATATTCACCAAAATAATATGTCGTTGGTTTATTCATTTCAACTCAATACGTTTAGATAATTGCTGTATGAAGTTTTAAAAGAACAACCTGAAAAAACAAATTGAATATCTATAAAACTGTTTATAGATATTGTTATCAATTAGTATCTAAAGTGACCATGTTTAAAGGTGTATGAGTAAACCCAAATTAGATCACTACTTCTTTTATTAAGTTGTTCTAATTCAATAGCTTTTCGTGAAATACATCCAACTTAAGGTTGATTTTAATATTCATCACTTATCAAACACATATCGGGCTGTTCAACATGTAATTATTTATGCAACATTTATTTAGGTTTCATTACAATTACACTACTAATAATTTTACTTTCACTCCAAAAGTTTAGTTGTCAGTGATAGTGACACTTGTGAAAAGTATTTAAATTCCAAGTAAAGTTTTATTTTCTAATGGGTTTAGTATACATGGACGATAAATTCATTCACCATTGAAGCATGCTTCAGTTAGCAGACAAATCAACTGTGATTTGCTTCTTAACTAGTCTTGAAATATTCAAGTTAATACAATATATGAGGTATTTCCTGGAGTTCTAGTGAGAAGCAGTGACCGGTGGAGTTCAATCAGGTCTGTTGTGAGATAGGAACTCACTGAAGACAATTGGTGAATGGTTGCTCAACTTAGTGGATCAGTTGAAGTTAGACATTAACACCGTTGGATGCCAGCTCAGTGGTCTATCGGTTAAGGGCTCTGGCTCGAGACTGGTAGGTCCTGGGTTCGAATCTCGCGAGTGCGGGATCGTGGATGCGCACTGCTGAGGAGTCCCATAATAGGACAAAACGGCCGTCCAGTGCTTCCAGGTTTTCCATGGTGGTCTAGCTTCAATTGACTTATGATCTCAACTCTATACAATAAATTCATTTACAAATATTTTTGAAAGAAATGAACATATTCTTCTGAAGTTCACTAGGTATATATTAGTTTTGGCTGAAAGAGACTCAAGGTTACATTTAAATTATAGTCAATGAATCATAAAACTGCTTTTTTTCATAGTAAATAGAGTAAATTCACTGAAGCATGTATATGAAATTAAGTTGAGAGATTCTGAGTGAGAAAAATGTTTTCCTTCATTTTTCTTATGTTGTATTTTTAAATTTAATCGACAAACTGAATGTATCCATCTGTCTTAAGCTAGGTCAATTTATTTAATAAATTATAATAAATTTTCATTGAAACCATTTGATAATGATTCCAAGCGAAGAATAGTAGCGGCTAGCAGTAGAATCCAGGAAGCGTGCTTTATCCTGTTTGGGACTCGTCTGATGGGTTTACCTGCATCTCAGACTTGATGATATTCACTCTGGAACTCGAACTCGATACTGTTCGCTTCAAATGTCATCACGTTATCCACTTGGCTACTGAATCCTGATAATTTGATAATTAAATTTCTAAATGTATCAAAAGTGTATACTGAATTAGTTTATTCACCTTATTATGTTCATAACTAGAAAAGAACCATCTGAAAACATATCTATCCCATCTCATTAGTAATTAAATGTATTAATCACCTGAGAGGTAAATTTTTAGGAATGAACTAAATCATAAATGTCATATAACATTATTACCAATATAATATTATATAGATCAGTTACAGTTTAAATAAGATAATGAATCCATACTTCAGTTTACATGATGATTATATATATATTCGTTTATTTCAGTCATTTTCATTATTGTTTAAATAAAGGTCAATATTGTATCAAACTCTAAGGATTTGAAGTTGTTCAATGTAGTCAGTGAAGTGCAATGAGCTTCCTCACTGATACATTAAATTTATACATGCGATTAATTGCAAAGTAAATTCAAGATAAATTAAGACTAGTGAATTAGGTTATTCTAGTAAATTGTACAATAATTTTTGTTGCTGGACAGCTTTAACTTTTTATTATTAAAAAAATGTCAAATTAAATCAAATTAGATACATATGTCAAATTATATGCTCAGTCCATGTCTAACTAATAATAGTTCTATAGTAAACTTATTCGTTCAAATGAACATATTAAAATAATTACTAAGGGGGTTTATTTAAAGCGCATATCAGTCTTAAGAAACCTAATTAGTTTTAATGTCAATGATTTTAATTACAAAAAAAAATTAAAAGGGACCGATTACCTTCCATTATAATTATCATAGCTACAATTGAAATCTAATGTCAACATTATGATACCTACTAAAAACCTTTTACTACTCAGGATAATTACAGTTCGTATAATTTTCATATGTGCTATATTCATTTCAGGTTAATGAATAGGAAAGAGAAAGTTGAGTAACACTTAGAAGTAAGTGAAATTATAGGGTGTATTTAAAGATAATGCCAAAAGGTAAGTGACAAACTTCATTCATTAGATGATGCGTATTTTATACCCAATCTTCAATATCCAAAATACATTATATCATTTTCGATTATTTTTATTAGCAGCTAAATAATATAAACAGCATTTATTTTTTGTACAGGTATCACCTTTAAATCTTCTATATTTAAATGTAATAATTGAATGCAAATGTGA